GGGAGCAGAACAGGCAGATCGAGGAAGAAGTACACTGCTGAGGGGAGCAGAGGGCAGGTCAGGAGAGGTCTGCCCTGCCATGTGGATCTCCTCCGGGGCAGGCGGGGATCGAACTCAGTGGGGAAGTGAGTGGCTTTAGCTTCTTAGTGCAGTGCTTTAACCCGCAGCGCCACCAGGGAGGGCCCTGGCTTCGTAATTTTTATATGTAAGCTTGCATTCTGGAGGATTGTCCTGTGCACTTTCGGGTGTTTTGGCTGTAATACGGACCTCTGCCTTGCAGTTTCCTCCCCAGTGGTGATAATGTCAAGTTGTGTTGCAGAAGTTAATTTTTTCTTCAACAGATTCTGGGCAATTGAGGTCAGTTGTTTTCTCATGTTAGAAGTTAGTGCCCATGTCAGACAGTGGAAAACTAAGACTCCCTAAGAAACTGCTGCAGGATAAAGCTTAAATTGCTTTTAAAAAGTATTTTGCTTTTCTTAGGGCCTTGTTTGCAGGGAAATAAATAGGTAGTGAAAGGGTGCATGCAGAGAAGTTAGGTTATATTAGATAGGGAAATAACCTAATTAGTGAGCTCACCTATTTTGAGGGAAGTATTTTAGAACTTTTTTAAGTTCTGCTTTTTCTTTATAAAACATGGAGGAAGGTGGGTGCAGGACATTTTTGTCTCACAGTATAAATTGAGGAGTTTCTCTGCATGGCTTCACTTTCCCAAAAAAATACTTCATGTCTTAATACCTATTTTCTGACTGGCCATTAAATTACTTTGAAGAACTATTCCTCATAGAAGGAAATTTGCTAATTGTTTCATACTCTACACCATAAATACATGAGTTAAGTTGCAGTTTGAGGACAGGAAGGATTCAACTTCAGCAGTATAGAAACTGGGTCCTTAACTCTTAACACACACACCAGTTACAAATTTGTTGTGACTTCTTTCATGCACAGTGTGGTCTAGAGAGAAAAGTGTAATATTGTCAGAATATCTTTTTATGAGACACAGCCTTAACATTCATTCTAGGCTGCATGAGTACAAATGCAGATGTCACCAACTTTACAGCTTTCACTTGATCATGAAGAACAGTATAAAGCTTAACTATTGTACTACTGGTGGATACCAGTAGTAGTTTGTGATGAAATGAAGTTACTAGATTTTCATTTGGCTTACTGGGAAATGTGCTATACCTCTCAATTAGAAGGAAATTCGTCTAATAAATATTCTGTTGAGCTGCTGCTAGAAGCATGATAGATGATGCAGAGTAGAATTCTGTTCTGTTAAAAGCAAAGAACTCATCTTTTGGTTGGTTATAAAGAGACATTGCTCTGTTCTAACCACAAAGCAGATATCTTTTAATAAGCACAAGCAGATCATTTACAGACTTTTCTTGCCACATTCATTTAGGTATCCCCAGCTTTTCAAAAGTTGGCAAGACATTAATACCTGTTTGAGCTGACAGAAAAGAGATCCCAAGAGTTTTCACAGTTGCCGTTCTAGAGCCAAGCTCCTTCTGGGGGGAGCTACTTTTTACATGCTGTTTTTAAACCTGTTTCTACTGTGTATTTTCAGGGTTTTTGGGATGTGTGTGTTCTTAGTATGATTTGGGGGTCAGGAGACACTAAAATTTTTTTCCATATAAATAGAATGTGCCTGTTTGCTTTATATCATTTTGGCTCAGGAAAGCTTTTTTTTATAGGAACTTTGGATAGTGGGGGAAACTTTCTCAAGGTGTCCCAGAAAGAATAACAAGGAATATCAATATAATTTCTGTTCAGAGGATGAAAAGTATTATCTACTTCAAAATTAACCTGGACAGGTATTCCAGTTTTAACTCTAGAGTGTATCAGAATATTCTTTAGCATCAACTAACCTATGACTACTTACAGGATTCAAACCAAGAATTTATCTCAGTGGTAGGAATTCAGCCCAGAACCACACATCCCAAAGTAATATCCCTGCAAAGAAGCCCTTCATCACTCAACCTTTTACCCATTACTGGCCATTTTACTGCTTTTGGCCTTGTGTTGTGATAAATTTTTCATTCTTGGGGTGGGGGCATTCTGAGTCCATTATTAATCCTTTCTAAGATGGGGTGGGGTGGAGTTCTAACCACAAAGCAGGCAGTTTCCTTTCCATGCTATTTAATTGACACAAGTTTAGATGGCTTAAGTCCAGACTGTGCTAAATCATGTTCGGTGGTTGGTAAGGTAAATTTTTACATTTTCACACCTTTTTCTGTTTCATTTTAGACACATAATAAAGTAAACCAGAAAGGTCAGGCAGTGAAGTTTATTAAATATGTTTGTCAGCATGAGTAATGTGTAACAGGACATATAGCAGCAGTCTGTAGACTTGATACCCCGAGAATTTATCTTGCAGGGAGAGTTATGGGGCTCAGGTAGGTAGTAGGCTTTAACTTTGAATGGAAGAAATTAGCTTTGCATTTGTTACAGGTGTTTCTTCTGTAGCAGTAATGTGTTGATCCCCAATAGAATTATGTGCAAGGCGGTTTTTATAGGCCTTATTTTTAAACTCTTTCCACTTTGGACTCATTTAACTATACAGATATCTAGTAATTATATGGGTTACTTGAAATGAATAGTAAATCTTTGATTCAGCTTAGTGTCTTGTTCCATGGGATTTATTTGCAGCCTTGTGAAATGATGATTTAGTTTATCCATTCGCTGAGTGGGCAGCACTGACCTTCTTCCAAGCCTTAGTTCCTGTTCTAGGAACTTGAGGCTTTGTAGCCTCCAAATGCCCTGCAGTCTGTGGTGTTCTACCACAGACAGTTTGTGTGTTGGTGGACTACTTGGTAAGAATGGTTGGTTGCAGCAGGATGGGTCCCTCTGGGTCCTGTCTCACCAAGATGAGTGGTGGAAATCTGATCACTTGGCTGCAGCCCTTTAGTTCAGGTTGACTGACTTCTTTAGCTATTTATGTTAGACCAAGATATCCTAGAAGTCTTTGGTTCTGTTATCTTTGAGAGGAGGATCAAGATGTGATAATTGGCAGGCCTGAATTATTAGAAAGGGGGGAATGAATTAGGGGTGGGGAGGCAGACAATGAGAACAAAAAACTGTTGTTAAGTCCATTTAGTTCCACATATCAGTGCCACAATGGAAAGCTTGGTTAGAATACAGATAAATAGATTTTAGGGTTTCAGTTACCTTCAGAAAGAAAATAGTAATATAGTCTTGGCGGTAATACATGAACTTGCATAGAAAAGGGATGGGGTTGGAGGATATACTATTAGAGATTCCTTAAGTAATTTTTCCTGTGAGTTGAAACAGAAAAGTAATATATGTTCGTTGAGTCTTAATTTTCAGAAATGAGTGCTTATCTGTAGAGTATCTGCAGCAGAACATTTTTGTATTTTCTCACTAATGAGAAAAGTAAAAATGTGATTGCAGTTCTCTGTCCTGTTTTGAGTCCATTCAGCTAATAGGCCATGAGTTACTTGTCACATTGGCCCCCTCCCCAGTAGTGGGATTAGTTCCTTAGGCATGGGGTGAAGGATAACAAAGCAAAAATACATAAGTGAGAGAGACAAAAGGCAGGTACATGCTAACTTAAGTACATTCTTTGGCTTTGGGGGTAGAAACTAAGAATTATTTAAGTATATACAAGTAGTCTCTTTTTCTCTGTATGTTAGTTTCCTTATAACATTCATATTAAACTGGGAATGCAGGGAGTGACATTTAACATATACAAAACTGGCCCCATTGAATGCTATTCACTAGAGATGATATCTTTAGTTTTTATGTTGTCATTTGGTTGTAAAGCATTAATAGAAAGTGGAATCTGAAAAAGGCATAATAGTTACATTATGCCTTCACTGTGTTTTCAGTGTTACCCCTGTGCAGTCTGACTTGCAGAATCCAGCCCTCTGTGTTGTTTAGTCACACATACACCCTTTGCCACCTATAGCCACTAAACCTTTTGAAGGTTTGCAAGTGGTATTAAATCTTGTACTAAATGAAATTTTGATTAAAAGTGGTCATTAGCTGCTGCAGCCAGTGTCAGTCAAGCCCCCAGTGGGAAGGAGGCAGATAATAAGCAATAGAGGAGTTTCAGTGATTTCTTAACCAGTTTTTTCCTTTTCAGATTTATGAAGAATGTTTATATTTAGATTCAGTTAAAAATTTGCTTTCTGAATGAAGTAGTACTTGTTCACTTCTTTTTCCTTCTTGTAGAAGTTAATGTAATCCTTAAAGATTAATCTGGTAGTACGGTACACTGAGGCTGAAAACTTTTAAAATGTGTTAACAGTGGTTTTTGTAGAAATCTAAAATTTCAGTTTTAAAAATTAACATGCATAAGGTTAGACTTGGTTCTAAATCCTGCCTTAAACAGGCATTTTGGCATCTGTGACCCATTTCAGAGACATGTTGACTAGCCATGACTAAGTTGTGCTGAGTGTTTTTTAAACATAGGTGGGTGGGAGTAGAAGAGCTCCTCTACCACCAAGGTCTGTGGTGTGTGTGTGGCTCTTGGGCGTTGGTTTTGTTGAGTAAGCAGGACTGCTAAGCTTTTAATCACATTCCAGAATATACTTCTAGAGCCTAGGGTACAGTGCTGACTTACAAATTTGAAACATTTCACAACTTCCTGCCTCTTGATGATTTGTCTCTTTCATTATCTGGAGGTCTGTGCCACAAAATAGGAAAGTTCATTTAACTTGTGAGTATCAGTCATTGAGTTACTGGTGGCCTGGATGCTCAGAATTTTGCCAGAGTTCGAGATTTTAAAAGCCTTTAGCAGTTTTTGGTGTCCCTATTCTCTCTACATTCTTGTATCAAGAAGGAATATTTCTGAGCTGAAAACAAAAAAAGCTACTAATAGAATAACGACTATTACTCTGTAAAGTTGGGAATAAGGAAAAAGGTGAGACCAGTGGAATGAAAAGGAACTGGTCAGGTTCATTGTAGCTTTGATTGTAGGCTGAAATGAGCCCCATTCCCTGTATGACATATCCCGCATGCATGCACACACCCCAACCAAAAGTAGTCCATGGGAAGCTCAGTTTCACTTAGTTTTCCTGACTTACAAAGTGAGCTACAGTGCAGTTGTCAGTATATTCAGAGATTGGGAGATGGCTAGATAACAGGATTTTGACTTCTTTAACAAATGTGGAGTCTTGGAAAGAAGATGGTTGTTGCTGAGCTCTGAGAAATGAACCTTAGGTCTGTCTTGTGGACTATCCCATCTTTTTTACCAGTGATGTGCTCCCTTTACACCTGGCCCCTATATACTTGGACCTTAGTGGACTGACCGGTACAAACAAGATGGTAGTGTGGCCAGTCAGGATCCTCTGCAGTAAATTCTAGTGTATATTTTGAAATCTTGGGTGCTGTATTTGCCTAGTGGAGAGTTAACAGAAAGAAGGAAGCTTTTATCAGAAATATGTCAGCTACAGTCTCAGTTGTTAAACGATGAAAAATCCCTGACCTTGAAGCTTTATCTTTGTTTGCAGAGATGTCATAAATGGACATGTGAAAATTAAGCCAAATAGACAAATATTTCCTAGGGATCATCAAGAATTCATTTGGAAGGGGTATTTAGGTTGATGTCAGGAACTTAAGTATATACAGCTGGCCTTGACAACTTAACAAGCTTAGAGGAAATCCATTGTCACAGCAAACTGGCTTTCTCAAGTTTTAAAGCTAAAGAAAAAATGTTAGTACTGACAACTACTAGTATTAAAAAAACATGCATTTTTAGTGACTCATCTTTTTATACATAATTCATCCAATTTTTCTAGTTTTAGGAATTCAGAATCCTTAGTGCTGAGCTTTTAGTTTTGAAGAAAAGAATACCAAAGAGAAATTTAAAGGGAAATATCTCAGTATTCCTATTTTCTTACCCTAAATGCAATCTGCTTGACATTCTCCCGTTGTTCAATACTCCAGTGTTAACTGCATTCCTCGTTTGTGTCATACCTTTGGAATTCACCCCAGCTTGTTTAAGATTTAGGTAGTTAGGTCTTTTCTTGGTGGCTCAGCACTATCAAGCACGATTTTGACCCTCTAGCTCACATGGCGCGGCAGAACTCTCTCCTGCCTGGCCCTTGCTCCCCATTCTTTCTATTGTAAATTGCCCCCTGCACCTCTGCCCTACACCCCAGTTCTTGTATGCATAAATAAATAAATATAAATCTTGTTTTAAAATCAGGGAGTTTATCATTTTAAATTTAGTAGGAAAATCATTTTAGTCACTCTTAATAACTCAGT